AGACAATCACTTTAGAAGTTGAGCCTTCTGATACCATTGAGAATGTGAAGGCCAAAATTCAAGACAAAGAGGGTATCCCTCCAGATCAGCAACGTCTGATCTTTGCTGGTAAACAGTTGGAAGATGGTCGTACTTTGTCTGACTACAATATTCAGAAAGAATCCACCCTTCACTTGGTGCTTCGTTTGAGAGGTGGTATGCAGATTTTTGTCAAAACCTTGACGGGAAAGACCATTACTCTTGAGGTAGAACCATCTGACACCATTGAAAATGTGAAGGCCAAGATCCAAGACAAAGAAGGTATCCCTCCAGATCAGCAACGTCTGATCTTTGCTGGCAAACAGTTGGAAGATGGTCGTACTTTGTCCGACTACAACATTCAGAAAGAATCCACTCTTCACTTGGTCCTTCGTCTGAGAGGTGGTATGCAGATTTTTGTCAAAACATTGACGGGAAAGACCATTACCCTTGAGGTAGAACCATCCGACACCATTGAAAATGTGAAGGCCAAGATCCAAGACAAAGAAGGTATCCCTCCAGATCAGCAACGTCTGATCTTTGCTGGCAAACAGTTGGAAGATGGTCGTACTTTGTCTGACTACAATATTCAGAAAGAATCCACTCTTCACTTGGTCCTTCGTTTGAGAGGTGGTATGCAGATTTTTGTGAAAACCTTGACTGGAAAGACAATCACCCTTGAGGTGGAAAGTTCCGACACCATTGACAATGTTAAGGCCAAGATCCAAGACAAGGAAGGCATTCCCCCAGATCAACAACGTTTGATCTTTTCAACAAACAGTTGGAAGATGGTCGTACTTTGTCAGACTACAACATTCAGAAAGAATCCACCCTTCACTTGGTGCTTCGTTTGAGAGGTGGTATGCAGATTTTTGTCAAAACCTTGACGGGAAAGACCATTACTCTTGAGGTAGAACCATCCGACACCATTGAAAATGTGAAGGCCAAGATCCAAGACAAAGAAGGTATCCCTCCAGATCAGCAACGTCTGATCTTTGCTGGCAAACAGTTGGAAGATGGTCGTACTTTGTCAGACTACAACATTCAGAAAGAATCCACCCTTCACTTGGTGCTTCGTTTGAGAGGTGGTATGCAGATTTTTGTCAAAACCTTGACTGGAAAGACCATTACTCTTGAGGTAGAACCATCTGACACCATTGAAAATGTGAAGGCCAAGATCCAAGACAAAGAAGGTATTCCTCCAGATCAGCAGCGTCTGATCTTTGCTGGCAAACAGTTGGAAGATGGTCGTACTTTGTCCGACTACAACATTCAGAAAGAATCCACTCTTCACTTAGTTCTTCGTCTGAGAGGTGGACAGTAGCTCTAAATCTGTCTGATATGAATAACTTTAAATTGAAAAAAAAAACCTTGTTTTATTACTAATTATGTTTCAAAGCATATAACCACCAAATTTTAGTATTTGGTGAATATTTACTCTAATGAAAATAAAAGAATAAGTATTGATCTTGTGCGTTGTCTTCATGAAAGCTTGTGTTTGCAGGGTAATTGTACCACCCTGTTTTATTAATGACAACTTTACCCCCCTCTCCCCATTATCTTAACATTACTCTACTGGTGGTATGGAACTACAGTTCTAATATGAGCAAGCTCTGCATGAGCTTAAATCTAAAGTTTTGTGTAGTACTAAATTTAAGCTGTAGAATTCTTGATACAAGAACTTGAAATCTGTTTTTAAAAATTTGCTATGTGACTTACCATATAATTACGGTAATTCACTTTGATTTAGTGATTGTAACTGGTATTGGATTTATTCATAAAATTCTTTGCTTAAGTTTTCAGAATAAAATTGGTTATAACAAGAGGGAGAGAAGAACTATTCAGTTGGTTCTGGTAAATTGTAATTTTGCTGATTCTAAAGACAATTGTGGGGGGAGGGAATCTAGTTATGAATTTTAATGTGTGAAAATTATCAAATTCTTGAATATAACAAGGTTTCTGTTAAATCCAACCAAACTTAATGCTGTAACAGACTTTAGTGTCTGCTTTACTGAACTTGTTCTTTTTAACATCATTGGTTCATGTATGTCTGCCCTAAGTTAAAACACTTGCTTAAACTGGGCACTCGTAATAGCTTAAAAAGACCTTTAAGCAAAACTTATTTTGCAAGCCCAATATTTTTTAAAAAAAATTTTAAATGTTAATTGACTTTATAGGTGAATAAATATTTATGGGTCGTTCTGCATGAAAGTAGTCAAAAGCCAAAATGTTCTGACAAGCATGCTTTCTCTTTGGATAAAATAAGCGTTGATATAAAAAAATACAAGCACTAAATTGGGAACTTTACAAATATTAACTAAGGAAGGATAGGTACTTTTTATACACTATAGCCACAAGTTTTGATTTGCATTTTAAGTTAGTGGGGGTGTTATTTTCAGAATAAGTAATAAATATATAATCAAAATATGGCTTGTAAACCCCTTGCACATGCATAAAACTTAAGCTGCCTCTGACCCTCATTTCATGATACAGCATAAAAATTACCTGAATATCTGTCTGATGGGGAAGTGTAAAGTAAAAATTTAAAAATTTTTTGTATAAACTTCAAGGCCAATTTTATGTTCCTTTTGTCTTGAGATAGATGTCATTTTTTCTTTTATATAAAAAAAAAAAAAAATTTTCTAATAATGGCGATATAGATTCTTTTCTACACAAATGGCTTATACATGACAAAAGTAACACCATTATAATACTTGTGTAGAAATATGGTTCATGTTAATGTGGGCTGCTTTTTGTTCTGATGTACTAAGCCTTGCATGGATTTTTATATATCCTAGCTGAATAGATAGCAACATTTAAAAAAAAAAAAAAAAAAAAAAAAAAAAACTTCAATGTTGTATTAGTACTTTTAAATCTTATTTACTGAGAACAGGATAGTATGAATTTGCTTCACATCTTAAATACCTTTAAGATTCATAAAGGTTGATTACTAATTTGGTAAAAAAACTAAATGTTTAAATTCAATCCAGGCAATGTTAATTTCTAAAATAGTCTTATAACAACCACAATGAAATATTTCCTGGATTCCTAGAAGAGATTAATGGTTTTGGGTATTTGGTGTTGATGTTATAATTTCAGTTACCATCTTTAATGGACCATCTTGAGCAAATACCTTGTCCTTTACAAGAAGGTTTTTCTAACAGTTATGAGATAAATAAAACTTGCAGCTCCCCCAAAAATATGCAAATGTGAACAATGTGCAAAGTTTACGTTTAAACTTTGCACAGCACTCATAAGTCATGGTAAACTTGTTGACCAGTGAAGAAAATCCTTTGGATTTTAAAAAAAAAAAAAAAAAACCCATTTGCTCTTCAAAGTCTTGAAGAGGATGCTGCATCTTAGTTGTTCCTTAGTGATTTTTGGGAAATTAAATTTGATCTGTTTTTACAACTAATGTCAACTGGGATTTTCCACAACTCATTTTAAGTATGGAATCTAGTTCAGCACTATTTGAAATGCAGTGTAGTATTGTCTTCCTGTATTCCCAAATGGTATCAGCTTTTTTTAAACAAGCACATCCATATTATTAAATGACTTCAACTGTCATTTAATTTGTCAGAATTTCCTTTTTTGTGTAAAAGTAATCTTATGTACATTCAATCAATTCCAATAATAATATACAAATGAACCCATGAACAGTTTCTTTGATTTATTACACATGAGTAATGGTTGCATTAAAAAAAAAAAACTTGAAACACTGCTCTAGGACTTAAACCGACTAGTCTTTTTTTTTTTTTTTTTTTTTTCTGGGATTATATATCAAGCATCACTTATAATTGTACACTGATAGGAATGCAGAAATTTTTTTCTTTTTTTTGAAGTGTTGGCATATCGTCTAGCTGTCATTAGTTTCTTCATACCTTGTTAGTGGTCAATGCACTTTACACCTATTGCATTAATGTTGCTTCTCTTATAGTCAAATTTATTACTGTGAACAACTAATGCATTACATCTTTTGTAAGAGGTCTCCTGTTCATATCTTTAGATTCCCAGGAGTTGGCAATCATTACAGGGGATATGAGTAAATTCTTTGAAGTTGCTTTTTTTTTTTTTTTTTTTTAAGTAGTTACAGACTTTGTTAGCAATTCTTCTCTAAAGTTTAAAAACTTTTTTACAATTAAAAATTGCAACAGGTAATGGATGATGCAGCAAATAAATACTCAGAACATGACTTCTTGTGCCATTGAGGAATTTTCAATTTCTGTTACAACTGAAGGACCCCAGTAGCACAAGTGTTCATACAGGCTTTGTGCTGAATGTTTACATGATTTATAATACCAGTGATAACTATATCTTGATAGGCATTAGCTCAAAGGGCCAGTTGTAATGTAGGCAGTTTCAAATGAACTGTTGTGCTAGTCAAAGCAGCAAAGTCTAGATTTTTGTTGAGCTTTGTATGCATGAATCTTAAACATGATAATTTATTAGGATTGACAATTGAAACATTTTGTCTACCATATGATTTGACTGAAGAGAAAACGACCTTATTTGATGTCACTTATGTGAAGGATTACCTTTCGCTCTCAATTCTTTTTAATTGACAAGCCTGTTGAATGTGAAGGAGATTAAAAATATTTTCAATGTATTTTCCTCATTTTAAATATCAAGGACTACACATTCCAAACACTCTTGAATAGAATCCAGTAATTATTCTGGATTTTATTGTTTGCTATTACATTTGTCTAACATTGTTTTGATATATAGAAATGTATATATATCAGTGTTCAGTGAAGACGGAATCCTGTAAGAGAAATTCGAATATTTTCACAAGACATTTTCATAACAGCAGGGGGGTGCCTGAAAAATTTTTCTAAAATGAAAATCTCAAAAATAAATAAATTTGTAAAAAAAACTTCAACTTTTCAAAGATTTTATTCCAATTAAGAATTTTGCTGTATATTCACTAACAACTTGGAGAAAAAAAAAAAAAACTATTTCCATCACTTATTTTTGGGGTGGTATTATGCTGCAGCCAATGCTTTCAAATCTGCTATGCATTTCTTAAGACTTTCTTTCTCCTGGATTAAAAAAAAAAAAACATTAAGTGATATTTTTGCTTGAATATATTAAATATTCACACAAGGAGATCAATAATACATGAAAATAGAATTTATGTCAAAACAGCTTAAAGAAAATTTTTTTATAATGTACAGAGTGCTATGGATAAAATTGTTGCCATTTCATGTTTTTAATTTCACACGTTTTTGTTGAAGTTTGGGCACCATTATGCAATTCATTGCCAGAAATTCTTAAACAGTATATGCTGTACTGCTTGGCATTTACAATAGAAACTCTAATACAAGCATATCAGAGTGGGTGTCAATCTAAGGACAGTGCAGAGGATTTGGAAAAGTTTGAGGTTATATCCACTCAACACTGGTGTTTGCCATCATTGTTCATTTTCTCCTCAGACTTGACAGATAAAGTGCCTTGAGGAAGTAGTATCTGGGTCAAGAGGGTGGCTTCTGGAAAACCTTGTATGGCAGCAGGACTTTGCACCATGCTACACAAGGAGAACCCAGTCACGGCTGTCACAAGTTCTGTAACCACATTCAATCCTTACATCTGGCCACATAACTCCTGCAACCCCCTTATGTGTGGGGTGCTATTGAGAAAGATCAACAAAACTCCTTGATGAACTGAAGGCAAGGATTATGGCAGCATTCACCAACTTAAGGAGATTGTCCAGAAGAATTGCAGGAGGGTCTGGTTGAAGCTAATGGCGATTTTATTGAATAAATTTACTCTTTGGTATTTCAAGCTATATTTATCAAAATTTCACAAAAACATCTTAAAATTAGACGTCAGTGTTATTTCCATTTTTGCATAATTTAGATGACAATTTATCCATTGCTCCCTATATAAGCTGATATTTGGATCCTTTAAATGCTATTGTAAAAGTTAAATTCTAATTACAATGAGCTTAGATGTTTTCAAGTATAAAACTGAAACTTGTAAGTTAATGTAAAGTGGGATGGAGAAGTTTATTTAGTAAGTTTAAATGATTCTCTAATAGCTATATAATCATGGAAACATCCAAGTGAACATTGACATGTATTAGAATAATTTTATAAGCATATATGAAAACTGATATTAAAATTCCTATTTTTGTTTTATGAGGAATTTTTACATGCAGACTATTGTCCTCATATTTGTTATGAAACCTTTCCCATAATATTACTAACCTGTTGTGGAGTAATGCTTTTCACCACACTGCTTACAATCCAATTGACCATGTGTTCTTGTTCAAACCGTAGTTTTGTATTTTGTACATTCAAGTGATAATCCTAAAATAAATGGGAAAAAGCAAATTAGCCAAAAGTTTAGAAAGTCATTACAATTAACTGTTGTAAGTCATAAAAATAAGCAAAGAGACCATATTTGGTTGTAATGAGCACACACAAAATTATCAATGTAATCGAGTAGCCATTAACTTTTTAGAGCAGATATGAATTTTAATCAGTGTCATACTAAAATAATGATTATATACTTTTCAGTAAAATCTTTTCAAATTGTTGCTACAGCCTTCAGATTTTTTTTTTTAACGCTCACTCATCATAAACTTTTAAGTATAAACATGTGACTAAAAAAGCCATTTCCTCTTACCAAGCGGTTCTGTATTTCAGCATAAGCCTTTTGCAGTCTTTGGCGGTAAACAGATTCCAACTGAAGATCAACATTTTCCTACAGGGAAAAAGAAACAAAAGCTTTTATGACCAGCAAAAATACATAGATCCTTATTTGTCTGATCAAAGTAAAATAAAGACATTCATTGTATATACATAGTTCTCTGAAGCATTCCACTAAGATATTACATAGTTAATGTCGATAATCAAGATGGAAAATTCATTCACAAACTGAGACATTGTTGTCCAGACAACATTTTGTTTCTTCACTTTGAAAGTAGAAGAATGTGATAATACAAACATTTACTGATGTTATTAAAATTATTCAGTCTCAGCAACATATAAGCTATATACATCTTAAATTTTTACCTTCTAATTATCGCCCTTGTACTGGCGGCACCAGAAGAAAACTAATTCCTTCAATAATGATAATTTGAAAAACATATTTACAAACTCACATGTGGAAATCTTGTCATAGTAAGAACTTAACAGAACCAAAGTAAGAAAACTTCCACGATATGAAACAACATCCATATATAATGTAATAAGATATACTCCCCACCCATCAAATCACATAACAATAAATAATACAAGAATTTTCCAAACTAAGTAAAAAAAATAAAAATAAATATTTGAAATTAAGAAGTAGATCTTTTATTAAGCTGATAAAACTAAAAAGTTACCAAGTATAGCAATTATTTTTGTTTTGTTTTTTTTCCGGGGATGTGTTTAAACATTTGTGAATCGTATTACTAAATTAAGTGAAGTGGGAGATGAAAATGCACTAAAACAAAAAGTCCTTCATTAAATATGTACCAAACATCTTATTAAAAATATTTTTTTTTATGAAAATAGAATTATTTTTATCATTTAAAAAACTATGTCAGCTAAGTTTTTTACTTTTTTCTAAGGGAAAAAAAAAATTAATTACACATGGTTATTTTTAAATATTCAGTTCTAAAGCTTGTATTTTAGTCAATCATCTTACTAATGACAAATAAGTTGATGAAATTTGCTTTTATACAAGTTACCACTTAATATGATCATACTAACTTATTCTTTTTATCTGCTCATTTATAATGTACTATAAAAATTATAGGTATGAACAAAAAGTTTTAACAAGTATTGATGGATTTGTTTTTAAATTTCCCTTCAACATAGCAAAGGAAGGAAAGAAAATAGCTTTGACTTCATTTGATTAGTCCCTTTGCATGAAATATATTAAAATGGTGAAAATGAACAGTAAAAGTAATACAAGAATTAAAGAAAGAACACACAAAAAAGTGATTTTCTATCTGACTGAAGTTTTTTTTTACTCCATTGTTAAAAACCAAAAACTGACAGCTGTTTAAGGTCTAAAAATAAAATTAGTAATATAATTTTATGAAAACTGGTTTTAAAAATCTGGAAATTATTAGCCAAGCAAGATCATTTTTTTTTTTTTTTTTTGCTACTTTTAAAAATTCATTTTTAAGTGGAAGAGAATTTAACAAAAAGATACTCTTCCTACTCACTTTTTTTTTTTTTTTATTTATTTATCTATCTATTTCTATACTCACCATAAGTGAAAAACGTCACAGAACAACAGCCAGTTCAAAGAAAAATTCTTGGCCTAGCAATCCTGAGCCCAAATTTGTCTGCTATTGAAAATAAGGACTTACTCAAAATGATGAATGTGCAAGAACTCAAGTGTTTATTCATGCATTTTATTTCTGGATATTAACTGGTTCAAAAAACAAAACAGTCAGTTTCTACTGGCTGTTCTGCCATTTGATAAAGACACAGTTTATGAATATTCCTGCTTCTTTGCAATAGGAATTTCTTTCAGTAATTAATCTGACACAATTTGCTTACTCCCCAGCCCACATGTGAGTCATACAATAGGGTACACAAGTAAATGCATTTTCTCCATTTTCAATGCTGTTTAATGTTGGCTTATTTCACCTCCACATTTAAGACCGAGGACCACTAAACATGGTTACACCATTGGGTATAGGCAGAAGTGAAAGGTGTTACATTAATTGGTGACCATGACTAAGTATGTGATCCTGTTGGCTGATAGTGTTAGAAATAATGCAGTGTCCTAAAAGTTAAACCTACATTCCAAATTCAATTATTATTCTTCCAAAGTAGGAGTCATTAGAGAAGTTATTGTATAGATCTCTTGCTATTCCTAATATACTGATAAAAATTAATTCTCATTTACTTAATGTAAGGATACCGAATATCATTGGTTAAACATTCTAGGCCAAGTAGTTAGAATGTTTGCTTTCCAAACAGAAGACCAGTGTTAAAAATCTCACCATGATTGATTTATTTGAAGTTAATTTGTAATGTCCCTGGGCTGTGGGATATGATCCCAGTGGGTGTCACTGTTAGAAAGTACCTGAAAACCTTGATCCAAGGCTTGTGAGTAAAACTGGATAGACAGAACCACTTGGAAGCAAAGTATATTTGTGCTACCATGGTAACCGAGGCTTTGAATGTATTGACCTTTAATTAAGGCCATTTCAGTGTTGTTGCAGTGGCCTTTGAAGAAACAAATGTGTTTGAGCAGGGATTGGCTAGCAACTCCAGAAGATGGTTGTGCTTGGAAAATGAGTTATCAGTCATTCTATATAAATACTGATACTTCCTGATGAGTGGACTGAACGATTACCCCCCCCCCAAAAAGGTCTAAGTAACTCTGGAGTGGGGGTGCTGAATAACATCAGCTAAGTGACAAATTTTGTGTTTGTACTAATCAAACACACACATATATATATATATATATATATATATATATATATATATATATATATATATATATTAATCTACAACTCAGTGTGTCTGAAGATTTTAATTTAATATTTTTTTATTGTTCAAAATATATATATTGCAATTTTTTATCAGCAAGTTCAAAGTGATTAATAGTGATTAGCAACTTTGAATTTGCTTTGCATCACAGAAAAAAAAAAAAGAAGCATCTGTCAAAAATCTCTAAGTGAATTTACACAGGAATCATATAAAAATAGAAGAGAAACAATAAAAACTAACCTTCTTTGCTTCAAACAAATGTTTCTGTCCTTCAAGACTCCAAATAGCATTCTTGGCATCATCAATAGTATTAGTGTAAGCTTCTTTAGCGGCAGCAATTGGCTTGGCATAAGTTGCATCATACATTCTCTGTAATAGAAACATTGATATTTATAACCAGCATGAAATCAGATTATTATTACTTTATATAACAAAGAAAAAAAAATGCAATTTGCAAGCGCCAACATTTTTTTGATTGGTTAAATAATGTTCAAAGAAAATGCACAGGAACTTTTTTTTCAATAACACTAGAACCTTTTTCTCACTCACAAGTTGTTATGTATTTGTTACACATGACCTCTTATCAAGGTTGACTATGAGAGTATCAACTGATTTCACTGAACAGATATGGTAGCTATAGAAGGTTAGTTTGATCAAGTGAATATCCACCAAGTGTTGTGCCATGCCAGTAACAAGGCATCCTCCAGGCCATATCAAAGAGGAATGTAGATTTATGTCTCCAAGAGCATTAGGAGAAAGTAAACCTAAGCCTCCCGCCCATTTGATAACTGTCATGCAGCACTGACAGGTTCTCTCTACATACATACAAATTTGATATAATTATGGGTGTGAGGGAACCGCATAATATTAGAGATGGAGTGTTTAGAGATAGTGTGGACACAGAAAAAGAATCAACACTGTATAGTGACAGTTTAACACCCTAATACCCCAAGCAATTGTCAGACTACGTATATAATATCACACACACAAAAAAAACAAAAAAAAACAAACTTACCTGTTGTTTTTCTTCCAACATTTTGTTGATGCCAGGTCCTAACTTCAGAACACAAAATAAAAATGCTCCAGTAAATCCAAGGACATCAGCAAATCCATGGTCAATAACCCATATTTCTTTCGAAAGCAAGGTAGCAAGAAGTCCAGTTCCAAGTATATAGGGACCTACACAAGAAAGAATACATTATCAGCAGGGCTTTTTACAATATAATTTTTAACTTTTTACTTCCAGCACTACTAACTCAATTTAATGAGACTATGAAATTCAGAGAGTTATAAATAATAACATTTAACAAATATAAAAAGTAAATGTCACTCTGAAATTGCTAAATTTCATGAAAAATTGTCCTTTAAAAGTCTCCTTTTGATACTATGGATATCCACATTGAAATTGAAGTGGTAGTTTTTATCTCTATGTGTTTCTGTTTAATAGCCAGCTGGTGGTCCCTTTTGAAGCCTAATTTTCTAAGTGACATCTACTTTGATTGAAAGTGAATGGGAAGTAATGGATGGATGATGGATTTTTGGCAAAGTGACAACAAAACCAGAAATAGGGTTTATCCAGATGTTGGTCTATATCAGTTTTTCCCAATGTGGGTTCTGTTATGCTGAAAGGAGGCACAGGCAGTTTTTCATTTGGAGGGTGGTGAACATACTGAATGAAAAGCTGTGGGAAGCTATCAAACATTTTATAATATAGGTAACAGAGTTTGCATTCTTATTTTTTGATGTGGTGTTCATCTTCTGTACTAACCAGACGCGACATTGCTTAATTTAAGTGATTGTATGGGAATGTTTCAATGTGATGTGGCTGTAAGTCAGACGTGACTGAGAATCAAAATGCACTGAAAGGTAATGATTGGCTGGCCAGTAGTATGCTTGGGTAAGGATCACATTGCATGTTGACATATTTACTAACTGATCTTTTCAGTTAATTTAATATTCTGGAAAAAAAGTGATGGACACCACATTATTTGGGCTATTGTCCTCATCTTTGTTGCCATATTTATTACATTTCGGCTATTGCATGCTCTGGCCTTCTTCAGGTGGTTGGAATGTCGAACTGAACCCTTTATTTCGTTCACTGGGGTAGACTGTTCTAGTTCCATATGCCATGTTTAATGGATGTCAGTTATCAGTTATCTCTTGTTAATTTCCCTCTCCAAGTTCACTGCCTTAACTGGGTACTGAACTCACTCTTTGGGTCCTGTCACAGGACCCAAAGAGTGTGGCCGAAACATTGTAATAAATATGGTAACAAAGATGAGGATAATCGTTTGAATAATGTAAATGTACATAATACATCATCTCAGAAATATAGACAGATACTGATGGACACCAGTTATTTTCTTTTCATAAGTAATATACAAATAAAACATACATAGAGTAACCAACTATACGTGTACTAAGAAAGTTATATTGTTATGGGGACCACATGATAGCAGATGTACAATTGCTGCTTTGTATGTATGCCAAGGATTCTTGACTTCATCAGTGCTTATTCTGTACAATGCTAACTTAATAATCACCTGTAAATAAGCTTTTATTTATATTAGTACATCTGCTATGATAAGCATCAGTAAAGCACCTCCACACACTTTTTGATAAGGTTAATGAAAACATTAAACTTATGACATGCAAATTTTATCATAAAAATCATTCGTATTCTTCATAAGAATTATAAAAAATTACTTGTGCCCAATGTATAGAACTGGGTATGTGTTAGAGTAAATTTCAATTAATCTTTTTATACAGTACTATATTGCTTTTCCTTCATTATTAAAATAAATTGAATGGTAACATTGTTACGAATCACTTTTATTGCAATTATTAGTATTCAACTGTCATAACCTTTGAACACTACCTTTACTTTCATTTATCATATGCAATGAGAATAGATAAAAAAAAAAAAAATCATACGTACACAAGTAAAGGCAGGGTGAAAAACAGGCAGAATAGAAAACATACAAGACAATTTGGAAAAATCATATTTTTGCATGTTTTAGTGGAAAACTTATGGCTTTTTTTTTTTTTTTTCCTGATCCCAATTGATGAAACATGCCAAAGTAAAATTTTCCTAAATTGTATGTATAATTTTAACAGTATTAGAATACTAGAAAACTTATAGTAAAAATTCTTGGCCATATCATATTTAGTTATATATATGGATACGTGGCTGAGTAGTTAGAGCATTCACTTTCTGACCAGGTTTGAATCTCACCGTGGTCAATTTGTCGGGAAGGGGACTTGATGTTATTGGTCTTGAGAATCCCTGTGTGCAGTGCCTTTGGAAAATGTTTGAAAACCATACCATGAATTGACCCGAGCCTTGTGAGTGAAATTGGCTAGACGGAACACTTGAAGCCATCGATAGCTGTGCTAGCACAAGTCATCGTGACCTAGGGTTTGAGTTTGCTGGTGTTGTTCAGATTGTTGATCATTCTAGATAACATGCTCTCTTCCAGAAATTGTAACTAAGGTCTGCTCAGCATAGTTGCAGTATAAGCCACAGGTTGGCTCTGTGGGTGTTGAACAAACAAATATGCCTGAGCAAGAGTCTGCAATAGGAATTGGCTAGCTGCCCTAGTAGACGGGTATCCTCGAATATGAGTGGCCAGCTATTATGTATGTATGTATAAATAAATGGTCTCCAGATATAAAAAACAGGTTTTAATTTTTTGATGATGCAGTGGAAGACAAGAAACAAACCTATTAGAAGACCCTATAACAACTGACAAGTTATAATGGCATCGCCATATCACAACAATCTTTCCACTGTACAAGGTACCACATCAGGTACAAGAGCCAGACAGATTTTAAAAAATGAGCTGATGTCACCGAGTGAATTTTGCCATGCAATTGAGGCACATGGTGGGAGCTGTTCAGGCACTCACCTGCACAGTGACCCTATTACAAAAAAAAAAAAAAAAAAAAAAAAAAGCTGAAACACAAACCTGTGACACCAGTTTTTGGATACATAGCCGTGAACCATTCTTCTGGAATGAATCCCAATCTGACTGGTGCACCCCTCATTCTCATAACAGGATGAGGGAAGTTCTTTAAGTCTCTTTCAGGACCAAAGTACCTTTCATGAGCTTTATCCCATCTCTCTACTTGAGCTGCAACAGCTGAAGAGGTCCTTGTTGGGGCCTGAGCAAGTCTTAAAATAAAAATAAAAAGAACATGACATCATTTAATAAAACTTACAAGCAATACTATAAAAACCTTTAAAGTACAAAAAAAAAAAAAAATCTTGTAGCTGATATTTGTAATTCTGACATGTCTACACAATACATAAAAAACTTAGTAACACCTACAATATGCTGACTACAGACACATTTAACCATGTAGCTGTGTCTGTCACCAATATTTCATGACAAGTGAAAAAAATATTGCTATTTTAAATGTTACTAATAAAAATAAATAAAAAATAAAATTTGAAAATTGAATTTAGTTTTAGAATATTCATTCTGAATGTTAAAGTTGTACAGAAATGTGGTGCTGAAAATTTCTTGGCTTGACCCACTTCCCAAAATCTGACCAAACAATTTAAGTTTTGTTTTTGAAAAGCCTTTAGTTAGAGCAAGAACTGTTTAGTACTCTTTTACACATGGCAGTAAAATTTTCAAACCAAAACTATTTTCCATGAACTTTAGTATCATTGTTGTAAGTATGAAAATCATACTTTCACTTTGTTATAGATGATAGTACCTACGATAAAAATGAAATCACACACACACATGGATGTGCAGTCAGTGTAATAGTTATCAGTGAAGAAAACTCAAATTTGAGTTTATTCTGGTTCATTTACTTTACACTAATATCTTTGGAAAAAGCATGAATTCATTTTCCTTCAGTTATGGATTAAACAGCAAGTCAGACTGCGAACAATTGTCTTGGATAGCAGCATTCATTATTTCTTTGAATATTGCTGCTGATCTTCAAAAATTTAAACACAATCTCAACTGTTATCTTCTGTCTTAATAATGTTTTTCTCATTCTCTAACACTCAGTAACCCCTTGTGACTTAGTGGAGTTATTGCCTTGGTTAGGTGGTGGTGGGAGGGTGAAATGATAAAAGAACAAAACTCACTTTGCCTCTCATTCTCTCCCTTATTTTCAATCTTTGTTACTTATCAGTTTTTAAAGCCAAAATAGTCTCATACACAAAAATGTATGCACACATAAATATTTTCTGTATCATCCTCTCTCTATCAAGCCTGTCCTTCTTTCATCTCTTCCCTCTCACACACACACACATATGTATGTAGGTTTCCTGGTTGCAAAGTATAACTAATTCCAGGAGCTTGGACCAAAAGAGAAAATGTGTTGACAATCATACATACAAACAGAAGATGGAAAATGTGTATGTGTGTGTGTGTGGGGGGGGAAGAGACATCCAGTCTGAGATTCAGTTTAATCTTACTTCTCTTTCTGATTCAAGCAGTGACAAGATATTTCTTTTGTGGATAACTGACTGATTGCTGTCATCAATGAACTCAACTCTAACCTGTGTTCATTGTCCTTGAGAGCCAGTTTGTACAATCAGAAAAGTGTATATGACCTTTGATAGAGGATCAAGGGGAGGTAACTAAATATTGCATAAAGAAAATTCAAAGAATGATGAAAGCGTGAGCAAAATTTATAAAGTAGTTGGTTGCACATGATATGGCTCACCATAAAGGTAGGCCCCACTATTAAAAAACTTCAAGGTAATTTTTCTGTGAAAGTACCAAAGGCATTTTTGCTACAGAAGACCTTACACATAAGCATCTGCCTTAGAGCTGTGGGAAAGCTTTTATTTTTATTTTTTTCCTATCAGTGGACAGGATAAAAGCGTGCCTCCAAAAACCTGGAATCAGGGTGCTGAATATAAATAGCAATCAAGTAAGTGACATGTGCATATATAAGAGAAAAATTATGAACATCACTTGTATTTAAGGCAAATGATGTTTACACGTATGATCTTTAGCAAAAAAGTTATTTTCAATGAAAGAATACAAAATTCAATAAATATTGCAATTAATAATGGTTATGTATGAAAGAGCATGAGTGAAGAAATGAGAATGAAAACAACCTTTAATAAATATTTTTTTTCATGAAATTAGGCATGACATTCTAAAAGCCAAACAAGCTGCAGTTTACTTGTGGCAACAATAAATCATGATTTTCAACAAAAATTTCAATAAAATATGAATGGTTCTTTTGTAGTCTTTAAAAAAGACTTAACACTAGCCAAGTAAACTTATTTTTTATTGATATATTTTCCCTGACCTATTCTCTAACACTCTTTAGAACATATAAAGTGTAAGATTTTCTTATTTTAATAGTAAATTTGTATCCAGAATCTTACATTTCATCTTTCTTGGCAGCTCTTCTGTTATTACAATATGGGTTGCTTAACAAAAGTGATAAAAATATAGACAAAAATAAAATTTGCTAGATTATATACCCCACAAAGATAAAATTTATATTAAAAAGTTTAAGACTTCAGCATCCCCTTTCCTTTGTGCACATGTGTAATTATATCAATGTAAGCATCACTTTATACCGATGAAGTCCTTAAGAAGGAAAAATATCATATGAAAATTTTCCTCACTTTGTCATCAATTTTCCTGACATTTATTTTAACAAAAGAATAAAAAAAAAATAATACAGTTCAAGAAGGCTGGTGAATGGATAGGCTAAAATGTGATAACACGAAGTCACTTAATTGTCTGGTCTGACAAAGCTTGGAATTATGACTGGTCTCAAAATTATAGGCAATATATTTGTTAGAAAATATTTAAACAAGGTCATTAAAAACTAGTCTAAAGATGTTAATTAAAATGTTTTAGTTAAAATGTAGTTATTTATATTTCGGATAACTGCTATGAATAATTTTATAAAAGAAAATATTCTAATATCTAAATGAGTCAAATATAAAGAAATACTCACTGATTCTGAGGCAGCTTTTGGAGGATAAACCCAAATTGTCCTATAATAAATGAAAAAAAACATTTGAACAATGACAAGAAAAAAAGTGTGTGTCATCATATTCTATATTGGATGGTGATAAATATCCTTGTTACTTTTATGCTATTCTCTACATTAAAAAAAAAAAAAAAGAAAAAAAAAAAGATTGGTTTTATCCCATGCCAGTCTTGTACTGCACTTAAATTCAAAAAGTCTAGATACCACTGCAAAGAGCTCATCCAAATACTTACCATGAAAGTAAGTATAAAAAAAGCAACCTTACAGTAATGGGAAACTGACTACAGCCAAGCTGCCAGACCAGGACCAACAATATTGCCGATTTTTCTTTGGATTTTATCAAGATCAAAGTAAATAGCAGGGCACTGGACCATATGTGGCAGCAATATTCTAAGCATGGATGAATAGTAGACTTATAGATATGCAAGAGATTCTAGAGAGAAAATTTGTTGTGCACAACACGGTCAACATTCTTAGCTGATGACCTAGTGATAGATTCAATATAGTCTTTCTACTTCACGTCAGCTGAAAACATTAGCCAGAGAAGGCGCAACAAGTCATTTTCCTGGAGGTTAACATCAGCTGTGCCGATGGAAGGCAGAGAAGGGTCTCTCAGATGATTAAGGGACATTAATCTTGGCTTAAAAAAAAAAAAAAAAAAAAAAATTATAATATAATCAAAAGTGACTTTTATGAAACATTTGGAACCCATGTTTTTTTTAGGGTAATCAAAGAGCAATTCATCTTAGAGATATTTAACTTGGATGGTTACTTTTCATATATATGATGTAGATTATATATATTAAATTCATTTTTTTTTTAAATGCTATGTCCCTTCAGCATATGGCTGATCATCACTTTCTACAGATTCTGTTTTTCTTTATTATATGCAAATTTCTATGACTTTGCAAACACATTTGAGTAGTTTCCCCCCACTACTTTCTCCATAGTTCTGAATTCAGAGTTTTCTTTCTCTTAGACTGATTGCCACCCAAAGCTAGATAGTTCAGTCTACATCACTATTTAACCAAAAACTGGAGAATCAAATTCATTTACTGGTTATAATTATTAAGAAATTTATTATCCTTGATAAGTGTTATCTTTAGATAATAATTGTAGAATTTTTAAGTTTTATTACTCCTAATTGAAGAATATCTGCCATAATGTTTAAATACTGTATTTATGATAAAGTGGTATTTGAAAACATTGGTAAGTAGATTAATGCCATACCAGACTGTTGATGGCATAGAATGGGTATATTTGGCAACTTTATTATTTTGAATGAAGATATACCCAGGAAACGGTAGAACGTGTCAATAAATGTAAGATCTAATTTTTTGAAAGCTAAAAAAAATGCTGAAAATACAAGAATAAGATCAAGTAACGTTTTAGTGTTTGGCGTGTAAGTTTGGTCACAACGATGGGACAGAAGTTAACCTGAAACGATGACTGATTAACACTAAGAAAGAATGGCTTTTTAAGGAATTTTGAAAGAATTTAAATTAAAAGACTTCATTTCAACGGTAAATCATACACAGTTTACTTTCAAACTTAACTGTTAAACTAAAAGCAAACGTTAATCTTATAGCCAATAACGATACTTGTGAACAACACTTTTGAGTCCAAATGTCACGAAATGTAGAAATGGATAGAGTTCTGCAAATTAATGATGGGCTCATTTCGGTGTATTAAAAAAAAAGAAAAGCATTTTAAAAATAGAAAATTGATAAAATAACTTAAAGCACGCTACATTTTTACATCGAAAGTCAAAACGCGAAATTTTTTTTTTTTTTTGCCAAATGACTTGGAGTTATCGATGTGGGGAGTACATATTGATGCGTTATTTCTTAAAATATCGATAACAAAAATATTCGCAAATAAATGTATTTTGCCTTTGTGTCCATGTTATATAAAAACAATTTCTACGAATCAAATGTCGCGAATGTATTCTACAATGAAGTTCGAGTTTGTAAAAGACAAATATTGCCATGTATTAAAAGAGAAAATCAAAATAAAGTTTCCGCCAATTTTAGTTTTATTTAATGTTTGAAGGATTTATTTTAAGTCGGTGCCCTTTACATAGGGTAGGACGTACCGAAGAGAAAAACAACAAAAATTGGGTGGTCCATTTTTAAGTAGATATGTATTATTGGAAAATGATCCCCTTTTTTACGAGGTTTTTTAAAAAATGTTTCGTACACTTAGTTATTAAAAATGACATTAACTTTCGTTTTTATTATTAAAAACAGTCTATTCTAAAAAGATAAAATTCAGAGCAAGTCGAAAAGTGAACAATCTTTTTCACACACGAGAGGTTAAAAGACTCAAGGTCATAGAAGTTTAACATCATAGAAAAAAACAAATAATCAATTACAAGTTTTTCAAATAATTAAGAGACAAAATTAAATACCTGGAAATTAAATTATACTTACCAGATCGCAAAAACCTCACCGCTTGCATGATGGTAAGAAATGTCGGCCTCTTGCAAACTCAGTGCTATAAATATGGTGTCTTCTTTGCCCGGCTAAGAAAGAGACAATCCACTGTTTAGTATAATTACAAAAAAAATTAATAATAAGTTTCATGCAATAAAATATTTTAATAATATTTAAAAAAAATTATGATTGATTATTTTACAAAAAAATGTATATATTACCTTATTTTATTTTTCTACGGGACTGATTTGACGTCACGTATCTACACAGATCGCCATAAATTGTCGTCTGCCGGAGAAGAAGAAGACTTCTGTCTATTTTATTGTTGAAGTAAGTGAGAGAGAGAAAAAAAAAGAAGTAATCGTCCGGAATATTAGCGCTTTACACAGAAGAGTGAATTGGTTATTTTTTTTAATTCATTACTTGGAAGATTTATTTAGTCAAAATTATTTCTTCATTTTCCTTTTAGAAGAAATGAATGACCAACTTTTTTTTTGCATTGCAGAAGAAAAAATATGTGAAAAATCATGTCGACAAGGGTGAGAATAAAAGTTGAATATTTCTTCATTATTTAATCTTTAAGCTATATAGAAAAGAAAAAAAGAAGGAATATTTTTTAAAACTAATTTTGCTGTATTTTTTTTTTTTTTAAGTAAGTTCAACAAATTTAACTTTAAAAACGTGGAAAAATATCACCGGGAATAATAATAAAAAAGATGGATTTTTTTAATCTTATTTTATTGTTCTAATTAAAATGAAATAAAGCTTCTTGGTAAATTTTCATTTTAACACCTGAGCGCTAATATCTTTTCAAATTTTTCTAAAATAGTCTTATTTCCGTGCAAATGTATATGCTGAAGTCAACAGTTATTGAAGAAACCTACCTTTTTGGATGTTAACAACCCGAAAAAAATCGGATTGATAAGTAATTCAGTGCTGAATTTTGTTGGTGGACGTATACAATTTGGGCCTATTTACTTCCTTCACACTCACAGTAATTCCTTGTAGTTAATTTTCAAATTAGGGTTAGGTGTTTTTTTTTGTTATGCTTTTATTATTTTAATTTTTTTTTTCTTAAGAAGGAAGTTAACTTTCAAATTAGGGTTAGATTTTTTTTTTTGGTTATTCTTTTATTTTTTTTATTTTTTTTTTAAGAATAAAGTTAACTTTCAGATTAGGGTTAGGTGTGTTTTTTTGGTTATTGAATAACCAAAAAAAAAAAACCTAGCCCTAATTTGAAAGTTAACTTTCTTCTTAAAAAAAATAAAAGAATGGCTTAATAAGTTATTCTTTTATTTTTTTTATTTTTTTAAGAAGAAAGTTAACTTTCAAATTAGGGTTAGGTGTTTTTTTTTCTTTTGTTATTCTTTTATTTGTCGATGTTTACATATATTTGAAAGTTAACTTTCTTCTTAAATTAAGTAAAAAAAAAGATTTGTAAATAGCTTGATTGATAGTTCATTACTTAGTAACAATAACAATTGACTTCTTGCAGTGTTCTTTTTCTTTTTTTTTCTTTTTAGAATTATTTGATATTTTTTTTTAGATTTTACCTGTTGGCTCCATAAAACCATTCTTGATACAAAATAAGTTATATTAATTTAGATATTTTTCTTCACTGTATTTTTAAAGTGTCAATCTATGATTTTATCAAAATTTCAGGATATTCAATTATGTTGTTACATTTTTTAAGTAAATATAAGAAAACTTTTATTGTTGCATTTTTATAGATATATGAGTTCAAGCTGTTATAGAGCTGAAGTAACAAGGAATATAAATTTTGTATTTGAAGCATTGTAGAGAAATGGATAATGGTTTGAAATGAGGAATTGGAGAGCTGAGTTTGAATTCCAGTCAAGTTCATTATGTTCCCTTACATGCTAATACCCTTGGGAAAGGTATGAATCAGTCTCTTCTCCTCCCAGCTATAGGTAAATGGCAGGATAGCCTGAGTCCTACAGCCTTGGGTGGCAACCGGTCTAGAAGAGAAGGACAATAGTGAATTCAAAACCTGCGAGCCTAGTGTATGGACTGAGGGTGACCCATACCATATTCCATGGCCTTCAGTTGTCGGTCAAGAGCTTGGAGAGGAGATGGGCACTGCCAAACTATCTGAAAGCCCACTGAAAGGATCATGAAGAAGAAAAATCAATGTTTGTTTTTTCTGTCTTTATGTCCAAATGATTGAAACAGTTGAGGAGCTGATGATGATGATTATTTGAGAGCAAACAAACAAATGATAAGAATTTAAGTTATTTGCAGACAAACATTTCAGTTTAGAATAGTAGGAGATATGTCAATTAAAATGATGAAGATTAAATGGCTCTTGTAGAAAATGAGCCACAAACCTTTGAATTTGCATCAGAAATCAGTATTTTGATTGTAACTATTTCAATTCATCTAAGAGTGATTAGCAAGAAAAAAGTTAAAAAAAATTGGTCACATTTGAAATGAATTAGAAACAAAATAAACTGGAAGTATGAAAGGTTGCATAAGTCATGTTTTCTAGTATGAAATTGATTGATTATTTTTTAATGTCTTATCAACCTTTTGAAGGTCATTTAAAGCCAGAAAATATTTTTAGATTTAAAGTATTTTTTTGAGAGAATAATAATTTACGGTTCCAATTCTACTAATTAACCCATAACTAGAGGGAGAAGAGTTGGGTTCATACCTTTAGTGACATGTAAATGACTGCATGGCTAAAGCATAGACTATATAAATGCCAAAGCAGTAAGGGTAGACCAGTTTTCAGTATGGACTGATAAAATATGAATTCACACTTCATAACAATACCTTTCCAAAAGGTATATGCATGTAAATGAATATAATAAACCTGACTGGAATTGGAACTTAGCTCTCCATTATCCAATACACCACTCTCACATCTAAGCTTACAGCACCTGATATTCCCAAATGGTCAACCATCTAAGTATTAACCAGACTCAACATTGCTTAACTTCAGTGATTGTGTGAGAATTGGTGTTTCAATGTGACCTGGCCATAAGCCAGGTATGAAATTGATTTATTTTTACACTGTATCATTACTATACAAGTCGCATTACAGTTAATGGTGGAAAAAATGGAATTGTTAAGCTGAGCTCAAATTCCAGATTAGTCTGTTGTATTCATTTTCATGCTGATGCCTTTGGGAAAGGTATGACCCCATTTCTTCTCCCATCAGCTGTAGGAATCAAAAGATTAATTTTCAAGGTTGAGGTCACTATTTGTAGGAGCATCAGTCATCCAGGATTTTTATATTAAAAATCCGAATGTCCAAATTCTCAAATAAAAATAAAGAAAATATAGGTATGTCGGTTAAATACATTATTTGTATTTACAAACATATATACATGGATTCAAAAGAGTTAAAAAGTATTAAAAATACTTTTGTTGAGTTCAGGTATATACGTTTGTAATTACAAATGACTTAACAGACACACCCATGTTTTCTTTATTTTTATTATTGTTTAGGAATTTGGATTTTTAATATAAAAAAACTTGGATGACTGATGCTTCAACAAATAGTAACTTTGACCTTGAAAACCAACCTTCTGATTTTTATAAATGGTGACCCCCCCCACCACCACCACAATGTGATATGAACATGCAACCTTCTGATGCTCTTACAAGCTATTAATTAAATAGCAGAGTAGACTGGACTTGGTAGTTTTGGATAATAACTGGTTTAAGAGAAAGACTATTCTGAATTCAAAACTGTGGAGAAGATGTTGCAGAAGAGGATTCATTTTATGCCTCCTAGTACATTTGTCCTGCAACCAAATTTGGTGGGATCATGTGAGTTCGGATAAAAATAAGTGGCAAAACATGGAATTCAAACAAACAAAAATTAATAAATGTATTAACAGAACATGTTACAGAAGGATAAAGAAAGAAATGAAGTTAAAGTTGTGAAGAGTTCTATACAATCTTTTCTGTGTCTCTGAAATATTCACATGCCTCATGTCTATTGAAGCGAGAAAAAATGTGTCTTCTCACTTCACAAGTCAAAAGAGAAAGAGGAAGACGCTTTCAAATCTTACGCCACTAATCACTAGTGATAATTCACTATCTTATTACTTGTGATTATTGTCAAGGGCAATGTCAGATTTACACATAGACTGCATTTCAAGGGCCCAAAGACTAAAGGGGCCCTTAAGGGCCCTCTATAGTTTTGGTCCCCAGATAAAACTAAAAAAAGGAAATAAAGATATAACAGAGGAGTTGTTTATTTTCAGATATAATGGGTTCCCTTTAAATTAATTTGAAACAATTTAAACCAAAAAAGCATCATCTATAAATATATCTTTTTTTTTTCTAAACATGCTGGGGGTGGGGTGAACATATGTAATGAAGAGGCCCCCAAAATCTATTAGCCCAGGGTCCTCTTTAGGCCTAAATCCAGCCCTGCTCAACAGGTAGTAATCCAACAAAACAACAGGAAATCCATCCACTATCTTTCCCAAGAAATCATGGTAATTCACAGATAATAAAGAAATGGAATCTGTGGAGAGCCATGATTACTTACATGGCATTAAATCATTGAAAATTAATGTTAGTAGTTAGGAGGACATTGTAATTGATTGTTTTTGCTGTAGGCCAGAGCTACACAGACAGAAAAAGAGAAGAGAGGCTCAAGTCATCGCTCACCAAAAAAAAAAAAGCAGCAAGATAATACTGTGGGTCAGTGCTTTCAATTGTAGTCACTGCCTCCAAGGCTGTCAGTCCCATTTGGACTTCTACAGTCGCAAGAGATGCTGCTCTACAAACCTAAATAGAAGCAAGATTTTCTAACTACTGATCCATAAACTAACAGATACCTCAGCAAAAATAGCAACACCTGCTTTCATATTGTAAAAACAATGTTGAAGATAATTATTTAATTGCACCCTGCTAATTTATTGAAGCTATCTCATATGAATTACTATTTTTTTTAAAATTTAGAACATTTCCTTACAAACAAAAATAAAAGTCTTTGTTCTCAAGAGGTCAAGGAGGAATATTTTGCTTGAATTAATAATTTATTTTTCTTTAAATCTTTGTCAATTTATTTTACAAGCATTTGAACAACCAGTTCAAATAACCTATTAGATTGTTGGGGATGCCATATTGAATAGTTCCTCTTCATGTCTTCTCAGAGGAAGAGAAATGGGGTGGGTTTACTTGATGGTGCCGTGTTCCTCCCCAAGTAACATTTAACAAGTCTTACTTATTCCATGATGGCAGCAGTCAGAAATAATCTTGATCTGATATATGATAGGTCACTGTGAGTGCTACTGGTAACCCAGTACTATTTACTGAATGGTCAGGTTATCAGCTACTAAACCAGTTCCCTACCAGGCTTTTCTTGTGAGGAGTGTGGCTAAACATCCAGCTGGATTAAAAACTAGACCTGTCAAAGGGTGGATGAATCCTTTCATGGGATTACTGGCCATATAGCACAGGTGCAGAGAGATGTAGAAATACCTGGGTTGATGCCCAGGTGCATGGTAAACCACTAAGAGTGTTATAATCCTTAGCCTTCCAACTACCAGAAAGAAAACTCTGATGTAACACTTGCAGCTTGACAGCATCCAAAGATGATGTCTTTTTTTTTTTGGCAGGGGCATTCATGTTGTTCTTGTTTAGAGTGTGGGAATGCTTGCAACTTTAATCTCATTTGCATAGCCAATATACCTCCATGTATATCATTGTGCATGGCTTTAATTCTTTTCTCAGAGACTGTGGAGGTACTACAAAATCTCCATTACATATAATTTCTTTTTCTATTGTTAATTTGTGTCTTGATCCTTTTATGGCCTCTCAGCCATAGAGTATGTATTTCTCTTTATTCTATTCTGTTATAGAGTAGTTTCACAGTGGAGGCTTGTATTTCACTAAGTCGGTTCTAAAATAGGTTCGACGTAAAAAACGTTAGGAACTTGATATGATAGGTAATGACACAGAGATCTAGTAGTGGTGGCTGGTACTTTTAGTATACGACTAACGGTCGTCCGGCATTGACTGACTGACCAACTCCTGAGCCACTTAGCGACTGCTACTACTCCTACTTATTATAGGTGGGAGAATCTATTAACAATAAAATAGGTGTGTTCCACTATAACATATTCATAATTCTATTCAACATTGGATCCTGCCTAGCTTCCAACCTAAACTGATTTAAGGGTAATATATCCATTTCTATCCAGTGCAAAATCCTATCCTCATAATTTTCACTTGCTTCAACATTTTTACTCTCAAAATTTAACCGAGATAATTCATCCACATGCAGAATAGTATTTCCTTTAATATATATGATGTCAAAGTCAAACGCTATGAACTTAATTGCCCATCATAATATGGGCATAAAATTTTTCACAAATAAACTTGCATTTATTCCGATTAATTGTCATACCAGTGTTATTTAATTTTCTCAAAACTTCCTCCATTTTACTTTTTAGCTCTTCTTTACTGTGTGCACCAATGTTGTCCTGATATTATACAATTATATTTTTAATCCCCTCTAAAACTTTTAGGATGGATTTTTGGAAAATGTGACTTGACATTTTTACTCCAAACAGCAGAGCAGTCCATCTTATTAATCCAGTAGGAGTGTTCATTGTGGTGACTTCTTGAAACTTGCTATCAATTTTTTTTTTTATTATGTGCTGACTTAAAGTCAACTTTAGCAAAGTATTTCATACCAGCAAACTCATAGCACGCTGTTTCAATGTTTGGCAATGGGAATGAATCCGAACAAATCTGATGATTCACACCCATCTTATACTCACCATAAATTCTTAAATCTCCATTGGGCTTGCATATTGCCACAATGAGTGAGGCCCAATTGCTACTGTCCTGGCTGACTTTTGCTAATATTCCTTGTTTCACCATTTTGTTCAGATTAGCAACCACCAAGGGTAGCATGTGAGCAGGAACTTTTCGAGCTTGAAAATAAGTTGACTGCTTTCTTTAAGCCAAATACTCGCCTTGTATTCCCTTAATAATCCAACATCCAGTTTCACAGACTTCATTGAATTTATCAGCTTCAATATATCCATGCTTAAAATGTCAATTCCTAAAAGACGTTGCTTTTGATGTTTTCCACCACTATGATGGGTATTATCTCAAATCTGTTTTTTTGTCTCAAATGTGTCTTCAAAGTATCTTAAAATTTTGATGATTGACTCCTCAAATTGTTTTAACTGGAGATTACTTTTCTTTAACTTTGGCCTACTCATTCTTTCACGAAAATTTCTTGGTATCAATTTAACATCACTTCCATTATCCACCTGCATGAGTAAAGTTACTCTGTTCAACTTCACCATTTCCCTACTTTTATCCTGTGCTTTTATCTCAAATACTTCTGTATTTTCAATCAGAGGATCTATATTTTCTACTTTTTCCATTCACTTTTCATATGTGCATAATGTCTGGAAATGATTCCACTTTTTACACTTAAAACACTATTTCCCAAAGGCTGGGCATCTATTTTTGCTCTTTTTCTAGATATCCTCGTAAAGTCTACTTCTTACCTCCTCCTCTTACACTCCATGCAATAACCTAATTCGGTAACTCTCTACCTTGAGTGGCTCTTAATCTCTTCAAGTCTAAGGTTAACTGATATCGTTTCTAGATATCCTCTTAAAGTACACTTCTTATCCTCCTTTTACATGCAACAATCTCACTCAGTAATTGAATGAACAATTAGTAAAAAAAAAGTCAACTATAAGGTACTTGAAAAAATAATTGTCAAATAAACTAATGTAAAGAAATACCAACCATTAATAATCCAACAATACAAATATAGTATTTTCAATTTATATTTTATTTTTTCATTGTCAGTATTTTATGGTAATTATAAACAGAATTTTAGGACTTACAGCCATAACATATTGAAATATTGGTTCCCATATGATCAGTGAAGTTAAGCTACATTGAGCCTGATTAGAACCTAGATGGATGACTGCTTTCGAATATCAGGTGCTGTAAACTTGGATGTGTGGGTAGTGTAATGGATAATAA